AAAATTAAGAAAAGAGAAAAACAACTTAGACTTCTTCAAAAAAAAAATAGTTCTTTTGTACCAAATTGTCACTGATAATATACACTATCAACATGTGCGTTCTCAGAAACCTATTCATGGTTATAACATTATATATATTCATGTAAAACTTTTCTTCATTTTGAATAAGCAGCTCACGCATCTATGGATTCAATGTTACACATAATGGCTAATGGATCAGAACATAATGGTAGGAATAATATTGGCTTTGAGCTATAGAGGTAAGAAAGAAATATTTTAATAACTCTTTATTACAAGGTTTTCTTTCAAAACTAATTAATCTTTAATTAATATTCTAAAAATAATTAAGAAAAGTGAACTCTAAGCATAAACTTCAGAACTTGAAAAAAAAAAGTAGTGCATATTGTAGAGCAGACCTTGTTTTATCAAATGAGATCTTACTCTCTTCTATGCAATATCTTCATTATCTGTTACAATTCTTTTATCTTTGATCACTAATTCCAATAATGATTTTCAGCTACTTTTTGCTTGCTCCATACCTGAATACATTCAAAGTGCTATATCTGATAAGCAACACATTGTACAGAAGAATGCAAGGTGTCATTTGATAAAACAAAGTCTGCTCTAGAAAATGCACTGTCTTTTTTCACGTTCTGAAGTCTACGCTTGAAATTCACTTTTCTTAAATATTATGAGAATAATAATTAAAAGTTAATTAGTTTTAAGAAAAAAAAAATCTTGTAATAAAGAGTTATTGGAATACAAAAATATACAATGCTATTCAGTTTTCAATGCTCTTTCTAGCAACATATTCAAAGATCAAAATTTATAACAAAAATTTTTTCTAGTTAGTAACTAATAAAAATTTTTCTATTAAAATCTATCCCATTCAATTTTGCATCTAATAGTATATTTCTGAAAATTGTCTGTTTTCTTGATAAAGATACAATCGTCAAAATCCTGAAAGTGTCTTCAACTTTTGTCTGTTAGAAAAAATTTGAAGTTTCTTATTTTTCTTCACGCTACAGTCAATTAGATCTAGAATAGATGATTTGTGTAGATCTTGAGTCTAACTCTATATAACACTCAAAAGATATCATTTACTTCCTTTCTTTCGCAAGAAAATACGAAAGTAAAAAATATCTTAAACTTTTGCAGTCTACTTTACGTACATGCGTTTATTAATAATCTTTCATCGACATTCAATCTGATTGTGCAAGTTCTTAATTAAAGAGAGAATCGAAAAACAAAGAGTGCCATGAGAAAAATTCAATAGGAAACATTCATAAGAGTACTTGTGAATTACTCATTTTTGTTTGCATTAAATTTTAGCCATTAAAATATGTTATTGTTCAATTTTAGTAATATTTTTCATTCTCTTTAAATATCTCAGAGAACTTAAACAATTTCTTTGTCTCCACTTGGAAATTATTTTTACTCATGAATTCAGAAAGAAAAGCATAATTTCAAGGTTAAAGAAAGAATGGAATAAATGGACGCCTCAGAGAAGACAAACTATTATTAGTAAGAATGTTAACATTTCTGATTTTCTTGTCATTGTGAAAGATGAACACTATACATATGAATTTAACGAAAGATCACAACAAGACTTACGGATAAAATCCTTTGATACAGAACTTCTCATTTTTTTTTTGTTATTAAGAAAATAGATGATCTTTAAAGTCAAATATAAAATCTGTATCTGTCATAATGCATAGTTGAGTTTTTATGCTTGTTACAAGCATAATTGTGTGAAGTGAGAAACTGTGAATAAAATTCAAAAGAATTGAATTAGAACAGGTATAGTATCTCAAAACTCTCATATATACAATGAAGATTTTTCTGTTAAATGCATTCGGGCAGATTCTTGAATTTTTTTTTGTGAAAGTTGAACAGTTTCAGTTCTATTCTAACAAAATAAATATAATATTGAGAAAAGTGCATATCAGTTAATTGAACTAAATAATATTATTCAAGTAATTTTCTCAATAGACTTTTGGGACATTCTGCATAACCTTTTAACTTCGTTAAGAAAAAAAAACATCAATAAAGTACATCTCTTCAACTCATCATCTTCTATTCGCTGGAGATAATATATTGTATATGTTGTTTTTACTGTTGACAAGTTATATCTTAGACAAACAATAGATCATCTCTGTTATTTATTTTGATTCATCATAGCAACATATATTTTGATTAGATTAGTTTATTGACTTCTTGAAGTAAATGCAACAAGCAAATTTCAGTTTTGTCTAATAACTTGTCACATTTTCCTTTCCTTTACGTCTATCATTTTGCAAGACGAACAAGAATATGCGAAATATGAAGGAGTAGTAAATATACCAATTAATACTCGTCAAAGAAAGATTTTACTCCAGGAGATAAATGATTAAATCTGATAAAATATATATTGTGATAGCAAAATAAAGCGAAAATCCGCATTTTGCCATAGGAAAAACTCATGTTGCACGTTTGCTCACACGAACGTTGATATATTGCAGTACTTATAAGAACTGGTGGTAGCGTTTATAACTCTCAGTTTCAGCTATAAACGATTGCAGAGAGTGTTTTCTACTTAAATTCGAATTATTTATTAGAAAGAATTAAAATTAATCGAGAAGAAACAGTTTCAGAATATATTTTACTAAGAAAAATTTTTACAATGCCATCTATAATAAAAACTTATTTCATACTTGAGGTCAATTTGGATTCTGTGGCTAGTACACACAACTCAGACATATCATCATCGAAAATAACTCTATCTATTCCGATTGATTTGAAAACCGGCGTTATTCCTATTGAAGCCAAATTCTTTCAAATGGGTTTTTAGACATCGATTAAGATCATTTGAATTCATACAGATTAGCACTACGAATTTTCTCGAGTTCGCTGCTTCGCTCTTGTTCCTTGTGAGAAGAACAAGAATTGCTTGTTAAACTCATAATAATTCAATGCTGATATATTTGTGGATGCCGTTCAATAGGAAGAATCTCATAAAGGATTACACTCAATGTTCTACTTTTTATGAAAGTATTACAAGACGAAGACATTACAGATATGTAATAATATTAATGACTGTGACCATTGATTGACTATAATATTCAACAAATAACTTCTTATAAGTAACTCGTATGATAAAAAAAAAGCAAATATAATTTATTAATAATTAAAGGTAGAGTTTCATGCAATATATATTATTTTATACTAAAAAGAGATAATTATTATAAAAATATTCAAAAGAAAAAAAAAAGAAAAAGTTTGTTTCACTGCTTTTCGGTTTTATTTGCAAATGTATGGTTTAGGAAATACTTGGAACACTTGCTACTATGCCTTTCTTATTAACAAAAACACGAACGCGATCCATACGATAATCTAATGTGATCGGTGATCCTTCTTCGATTGTCATAACACTTGAAAAGCCTATTATCATTTATAAAGAAAAAAACAAAATGTCTATACATATTCATATTACGTCAATATTACCTGTTTCTTGTTTAATAAGGTCAACTGCATCTTTACCGTTTATACCAACTAATTCAGGCCATTGAGTTTTTTTAACAACTGGTGGTGTGTCTAAAATTATGGAGAAAAATTTAGTAAAAATAATTTTTTTCGTTTTTTCTTAACTTTTAACAAGTATAACAGGTACATCAATAAGTTTTGTTCGATTAGGACCAACTGGATTTACACTAATATGATAATCATTTGTATATAATAATTCATCATTTTTATTTCTTATAGTGACATGTAATGAACATAAACTTCCATCAATAATTTGTTTTGGTGAATATTTTATCGCAAATGCCATTGGAAATCGAATAGCTTTACCTATATTTCGTGCAATAACTCTTGCTGGAGCATCAGCAAGTGTTGTATCTTGTAATTCAACTGTTAATATTCCATTAGGTTCAATTGGTATATGTGAACCACTAGAAAAAACAACTCGACCACGTAAAGTAAGTTTTTGTTCTTTCTTTGTAAGAATTATTGCATCTTAAAGAGTTAATAAAAATTGATATATACCAAAAACATGTGTAATTTTAAATACACTTACCATTTGAAGCAATGAAGTAAATAATACCAATAACAATAAATAATATATTCATGATTTAATCTAGAAAAATATCATTAACAACGTAACTTACTTTTGTAAGAACAATAATATGAATTGAAGATATCTCTACGCCTGCATATATTTTATATAGAAATAAAAAAAAGGATAATTTCTACGCTACAGGCAATATATATATATATATATAAAGATAGATAGATGACATATAATCATGGTGATATGTTGACAGTAACAGAATAACTTATCTTGTTTTTGCACAAAGTATAACGACTTCTTCTTTATAGTTAAAAGCAACTACTTGTGGAAAAGAAATGAAAAGAGATCCATATGTACAACGTGACAAATCATTGCAATTGTAAAATGATGGCGTGTATGTGTTGTTCTGTCGTCTACATTATTGCAAAAGAAATATATCACTGCCTTTTTTACGTTCTTTCGACTGCATGCGCAATGATTACTAAGAAACAAGAAAATAAATTAATCATTCGGTAGGATTCGTTAAAAATATTAATGTACGTATAAAATATTCAAGAAATGTCTTCTAGGAAGTGAGATTGAAGGATGTATTTTTGTTGTCGTATAAAGATTCATATTATAGTTTCCATCTATTTCTAATAGAAAAATTCTCTACTATAATCAGAATAGAACGACCTCTTTTTGGAATATCGTAGATCATTTTCATTGGTTATGAATGATTCATTCGAATTATTTGTTTTCTATTTATTTACTTGCGAATCGGACCGACTCAGTTTTATTTCTCTCCCATTCGTTTTATTTTCTTCTCGTTTACAACTTACCTTTATTTGTTCAGTTAATCAAGTCAACAAATACTTAAACAACTCTTATAATTATATATAAATCATTTATTTTTTCAGAAAATTCTAGAACAAAATTTTGAATATTTTATGTTATTCAATTAAAATAAAATATGACTGTTGTTACACCTCAAGCATCATCTGATGGTGATGCTCAACAGCAGCCACAATCTCCATCGAATACAACATTCGAATGGAAAACATTAATTGAATCATTTACCGATAATACGAACAGTACAAAATATAATGATCTAATTCAATCAATTTTACGATGGTTTGTTATAAAATAAAAAAATGAAATGAAAATTTTCCTTTTTTCATTTGTGTGTGTGTGTGCTTTCTAGGGAAGATCTGTTGAGTCGACCAGATCCAATAAATGAACAGTTTCTAAATCCATTTGTTATTGTAGCAACACATTATCTTGTTGGAGGATTAGCACGAGGTTTGATAAACATATTCAAAAAAAAGAAATTCTTTTTTCATTAATTCTATTTTTTTAGTTGAACGTTTTTATTTTACCGATGTGATAAATGTAGGAAAGTTATTATTAAAATATCTTTTACAAAATGCTTTACCAAAAACAAATCATACAAATCGAGTAAATATCAAGTTTTTTTTTTCTTTCTTATGACTTAATTTCATTATAATTTTAGATATCGATATTAAATGCAATTAAATCATTATGTTATTCTCAAACATATCTTTCATCATCAGAATTGAAAGATTATTTAGAATTAGTTAAAAAATCCGATGGACCACAAATAAATAAAGATGGTTAGCAAAAAACGAAACAATTGTTTTTTTTTTTGTATTTACTTGTTCTATATAATATTAATAATTTATTTAGATCGTCGATTACGTTCATCAAGTAAAACAATGATCACACGACGTGAAACTGGTTTAGTTGATTCATTATGCAATGCTGTTCTATTTGACTTATCAATATCAGATGATTCATCGAATGGGAATAAACGTGAAAGACCACAATCAGGTGGTTCATCATCAAAATTAACATTTCCTAGTAAGCTAATTAAAATAGACTTTTATAAATAAATGATTGAAAAAGAATTCTCGATTAATATTCTTTAAAATCTTTAGTATATAATATCGTTAGTTAGTAATCAATTACATATTTAAATAATAAAATTTTACATAATAGACTCGAAACTATAAGATTACATTGAAATGTTCTGTTTGTTTTTGAGTGAATTATGTATATCAAAATAAATTTAGAAAAGAAGACCAAAAAAAGTAATATTTTTCAATGAGAAATTTTTTCTTAATGATTTTACTATTTTATATACTTCCAATTTTGCAGTATCATTTCATAATCATTCATTTCAATATACCAAATTCATGAGATAATGTTTGTTATTGCCAAACTCGAGAAAAAAAAAAGACTAAATTTTAATATTTCATTCAGATTTCCTTTTCCGGAACGGTGGCGGATTTAGAATGAGACCACCAAGGGTGCTCGCTCCTTCCTTCCGAACTATTCATTGTTTCAGAGACATGATTCAGAACTTCGTGCGGGCGAACATTTATTTTTAGAACTACAAACTCCCGGAGATAGAGTCAGTGGGTTATTTCCGGACTTGGACTCTAGTCTTCTGAGAAATGTATAGGATGCATTAGCCACCAAAAAAAAATATCTTATATCTTCGCGGCGACTATCCAATTCTGAAAGTTTTGAATCCGATAGGCTCTACTAAGAGAGTCTACCGGATCTTTGAAGGAGCGTCGCATCTATGCTGGATAATGCATTGTTAAATTTTTTCTATTTCAGTCAAGATTCATTACTTTAAACAGTTTTTTTATATTTAAATTAATTTGTAACGACTGAATTTCATTGGACATGTGCTAAAACAATAACATCAACGTTATTGTGATGTTTGAAAGTTGTTCATGACATGACATATTAAGAATAAATTTGTTTACTATGTAGAAGAAGAAAAAAATGTTCGACTTCCAATGGAATGTTCTAATTGATAGGCTTCGAATCGTTACACTATCCTCTGAAAAAATATTTTATTAAAACACATTTTATATATTTATTTTTAGAACATATGAGTCAAGTTCTATTGAATGATTTTAAACAATTACATGGTGAACAGTATTTTAGTGAGATATTGTTCCATATGCCATTGATAATTGATTCAAAAATTAATATAAATTATATTCTTCATAATAATATAATTATTTCTGGTAATGATACACAATTTCAAGAGAAGTATGTCATTAAAAAACACCGTTTTTTTTTGTTTTTAGTTTTATTTATTTATTTTTTTGTTTAAATAGCTTAGTATCAATTAAAAATGATCTTGATTTTCTACGTCGTACAATTCAATTGCCAGTAATAGAACCACTTGATGAAAATCGTCTAAATAAATTTATTACTATGACATTAAATTCACTTTTAATTGGATTGAAATATGTTCGTTTAGTAATAAATAATGATGAAATAATAACTAATGATCAAATTTTACATGATATAGCACGTACATGTATTAAACTCGGTGATACAATACGAAATTCACCTCGACTTGAAAATTCACGAAATATTTTTCTTAATTATCATCTTTTATTGGCAATTACATTAACAAAAGGAATTAAAGAAATTCTTCAAAATATTAATATTAGTAATAATAATAATAATAATAATCAAAATGAAACACAACAACAACAACAACAATCAAAAATGTAAGTTAATCTAAAAAAAAAAAAAAATTTCGAAATTCTTATTTCTCTTCGATTAGATCAATAAACAATCTATTAATTCATCTTATTGCAATTCTAATGTTTTCAACTCGAGAATTAATCAATGATATATCATATTCTGATTTAAATATTGAAATAATTGATTCTCGTAATGAAAAATTTTCATTTATTAAGATAACAGATCTACTTCAATCATCTCAACGTTATTTTTATTTACAAGAACATCAAACATTAAAATTATTTTTAATTATTTTAAATCGTCTTATTTCATCATCATCATCAACAATAAAAATAACATCAACAATTCCTGATGCACCACCATTACCACCAGAAACTCCATCAACAGAAAGTATTAGTGAAGATACATTTGGTATAAAAAATTTATTTGATGAAACAAATACAATAAATTTAACAAATACTTCAACAACAACAGCAACAACAACAACATCTCAACAAACAAATTATCGTTCATCATTATCATCAACTAATCGTAAACGAACAATATTAAATCGTTGTTTAGAAATTGATTTATGTTCAGATGAAATTATTGATCAAGATGATTATTATGATTTATTAAATTATCTTGATAAAAATTATCTAAATCAAAATATATCAATTCTTATTAATGATCTTACAATAACATTAAATACAAATGATCAAATTGATAATTTATCATATTTAATTCAACATTCAATAACAATACCAAGATTTATTCATAATCTTATACAAAGTGATATATTAACATATACAAATGAAGATTTATTACTTGAAAAACTTGGAATTTCATTAGATCAATCATGGTCATTAAAAATTTCAATAAATAATTTAATAATTTTTCTTAAAATTATATTAAAACGAAAAAATCCGGAATTAATGTGTTTATTATGGGATAAATTTCTTCAAAGTATTGCAAATTCAACAGATGAATTAACACTTGAACATTTAGAAATTTTTCTTATATTTTTTCATCAAATGACAATTCCACAACGTAAAAATATTCTTTTACAACTTGTTGAAATTATTCAAAAAACAAAGCATAATATTTATTTATTAATTCTATTTGAATATATAATGTTTAATTTTTATGAAATTCCAGAAGAAATTATTGAAAATATTCAACAACTTATATCAAAAAATGATATAATACCAACAACAAATTTTAATCAAATTATTACAAAAAATAATTCAAATTATCTTGATGGATTTGCGTTAAAAAATCTTTATAACAATCCAATTTATAATCAATTTTATAATTATCTTATTGAACAATTAGATTTTACAAAAATAAATAGAGGTAAGAATATATAATTACACCATACTTTCTCTTCTATTTCATATATAAGAATGTCGATTAGAGATATTCATGGTTATCCTACCGTATCTTGCATATCTCTAACATGATACAATTTTGCTATATATCATTTTTAGAACCTTCCAACTAGGGTAGAATAAAGAGAGAGTGATACACAAACTTCTTAGGAGGTTACGGATCTCGTTACACATTTTTATGAACCTACTGCTCCTAAAATGAGACATACAGTAACAAGATATAATTGTATGTTGAATTTTTTTTCTGAGAATAGCGAATAAATAGCTAAAATATTGATCCTCTACTTGTTCACGTACACGAAGGGTGCCAGGTATTGATGAAAAAAACCTCGGGTTTGGATCTGATCAGATCCTAACTCATGGAAACATGGACCCCCAACTTCCTAACGACAGAAGGCAATGGACTGTTAAATCGCTTTTAAAATTTTAGTAATGCTAATTTATAGAGCTCGTTGAGTTCTTAACGGATGTAATAATCATTCGTGCTAATGGCTCGTTTAAGAGTGAATTTCTGATAATCAAAGTTTGCACGAGACTATACATCTGTTCATCCCCGGTCAAAGGTGAAAAGATTGTAAGCGGGTAAGGCTACAAGCGCTATAAGAAATATGAGGTTATAGCAAGAATCCGTGCGTACTGCACGGCAGCTTTTTTTCTTTAACTTACGATTTCAAACCTTTCACTCGGTAAAAGACACACATACACTCGATATTATGTACATAAAAGCCCTACGGTGTAATATTCTTATATCGCTAATAACCCATGTAGCCTTACGGTCTTATTCGACCTTTGACCTAGCATAGACATATGTATAGACTCGTGCAAACTTTGATTATCAGAAATTCACTCTCAAACGAACCATTATCACGAATGATTATTACATCCGTTAAGAACTCAACGAGCTCTATAAACTGGCATTACTAAAATTTTAAAAGCGATTTAACAATCCATTGCCTTCCCTCGTAAGGGTAAAGGTCTTCCTAGGTGGAACAAAGTTTAGAAAATTTTTCTCAGTTAGGATACGGAAAAAACTTATTCTGCAAATCCCTAATGCCGATAAATAGTTGTTCTTAATTAGGATTCAGTTTTTTTTATTTTGTAAGAAAATTATTAGCTCACAGATTATGCTGCATTCAAGACATTAGAATTTTTCGAAAGATTTCTAGTATTATTTAATTATTATTTCATCGTTGATTGTATATCTGAGTATTGTAACAGTTCTTAAAAGTCTGTCAACATCAGATGAATCTAGAACAACTCCTATGATGAAAGAAAAAGAAACTAATAAGTAATTGTCACTAGATGATAAATGGCTTTTGAGAGTTCTATTGAAACTAGAGGACATCTAATAATAACTCATAGTTACGAATCTTTCTTCTGGAGTCATGGGGATTTGAGTTAGTTTTTCTTTTAAAATTTCATAGTTGATATTAAATTATCTTCTAAATCGATTTTTCGAATTCAAACTTTGTAACAATAAAGTTCTCATTGAGACTAGTTCATTGAAAATGTTTTAGACTTCCCAGTATCTTCTACTCTGACATATATGATCCCAAACGAAGATGATTTTGTCGCATAATAGAATTTTTAGTATTGGTATTTGAAGAAAGTATAAACTAGAAAAATCTGATACTTTACCAATGAACAAATTCTATTGAGAACTTGACTATTTTCAAGGTCGATTGTCAAGATAATTGAAGGTGAACTATGGTATCTTGTTGCAAATTTTACTAAAATACCCACAGCTAACACTCATCTCAAGAGCTACACACAAAGAATTAAATAGATTAAGATCAGTCGCTTTTAAATTCGAATTCTATGCATGAAATCGACTCCAATGAGATATAAAACATAATCTCAAAAGGATAAAATCCGTTGCAAAAATATTTTTTCATAAAAATGAAAATTATCGTTAACATCAAATTTTTTTTATTTATAATTTCTATATTTTAGAAGGATTATCTAATACATTATTCAAACAATATTATGATCTTTTATGGCGTATACTTGGTTATTTACCACCATCAAATGAATTTCTTGAAAATATGAATACATATAATGAAACAACATATTTATTACATTTATTTCGTTTTGAAAAAAAAATAATAAATGATAAATATATAAAAGAATTTCTTTCAAAAGAAATAACATTTACAAATATTGAATGGTTTAAAAATTTAAATAAAAAATCTTATTCTCTATTTGATTTAATTGTTTATCAAATGTTATTACAAAATTTAACTTCAACATCTGAAGAAATAAATAATTTATATAAAATATTTCTTGATGAATTTAAATTATCATTAAATACAAATCCATATATTGAATCATTATTATTAATACCTATAATAAAAAATTTTGAAGATAAAACTAAAACAATAACAATTCCAATATTACCAAATGATTTTGAAGAATTATTTAAATATCAATTAAATTATATATTAGAACAAGAAAATAATTTAAATTATATTTTTCTTCGACAAATTCTTCAAATTTTATCAATAATTAATTCAGAAATTAATGATAAACAATTATATATTGAAATACAACTTAATACAAATTTACAATTTCTTAAAGAACAAATTAAATTAAAAGATCTTAATATAGAAACAATACAAAATGATATAAATGAATGTATATATAAAAATATATTTGAAATATTATTTAATAAAAATTTTCCAAATGATATTATTAATGAAGATATTTATCATGATTTAATTAAATATCTTGATGAACAATTTCAACCAAATATATTTCAAAATTGTTTATTACCATATAATTTATTTGATTTACTTTATTTAACATCAAAACCAAATTTATCTTTATCAATATTTGCAAGAATGTTAATGTTATTTAATAAAATTTTTTCATATTCAAATCAATTTCAATTATTAATACAAGATTTAAATTATATTGCTAATTTAACTAATGAACAATTATCACAATGGTTATCAAAACTTGTTTTATTACAAAATAATGAAAAAAATCAATTATATACAGCTGAACAATATAAACATATATTAGAAACATTTACAAAATATTTAATTAAAAAAAATGATGATGGTACAAATATGATTGGAGAAGAAGTTTCTTTATCAATATTATCTTTATTAATACAATTAGGAAATGAATTATTAAAACCAAATAAATATGCATTAGGTTTTCCACAAATTATACAATTATTAATTATTTTAGCTGGACATGGTTCAGGTAATGGACATACATTTTTATTTCAAGCTGCAGCTATTTGGTTGGAATTTTGTGCTGATACACTTGCAGATAAAAATGAAGAGTAAGAATTTTTATAATTTTTCATTGTTTTTTCCAATTCTTAATTTTTGTTTTTCTCTGTTTTAGTTCTACACCATCATCATTCTTATCATCACTTCTATCTTCATTATCAACATCTTCATCGATTGAATCTCTTACACTTTTTCATTATAATATTCTTGAAGCAAGTGTCTATTTACTTGCTTATATAAATGATATTTTAATAGCTTTAAAACATTTATCAACAATAAATGATTCAACATCTTTAAAATCTTCATTAAAACTTGATGAATCAGGTGATGATGAAGATGATGATTCACAAGATGATGAAGATATAAATATTGATCAAAAAAAAACTCTTCTTTCATCAACAATTCAATTTGAATATGATCCAAATAAATTATGTACATATACAACAACAAAAAAAGAATATGCTAATCAACATTGGTATCATTGTCATACATGTAAAATGATTGATCGTGTTGGTATTTGTCAAATATGTGCTAATGTTTGTCATAAAGATCATGATATATCATATGCAAAATATGGTTCATTTTTTTGTGATTGTGGTGCTAAAGAAGATGGTTCATGTCAAGCATTAGCTAAACGTCCAATTACAACAACAACAATTATTCAACCACTATCATCATTACAAAAGAGAAAAATTAAAAAATTACCATCATTATCAAATAAAAAACCTAAATTAACAAATCGTCAACGTCGTTTAATTCGACAAATTAATACTAAACAACAAGATTATAATTTATGTATACAAAATAAACATATACCATATAATACACTTCGTTTATTTAAATTACTTCAACCATATATTAATAATCAATATCAACAAATATATAGTATTGAAAATAAATTTGATTTAATATCAGAATATTTAAAAACACATAATCAATTATTATCTATTGAAAATGATGAAAATAAACAACAACAACAACAACAACAATTATTTACTGGTATATTACATTCACAAGAAAATGCATTTGAACATGTTAAATTATCATATACAAATGAACATGGACAACAAATAAAACAATTACTTAGTACAAATTCAATTCGTCGTCAAGGTATGTGTATTATGTCATCATTAAATCCTGAACAAACAAAACAACATTTAATTGTTAGTCAAGAAAAAGGTAAACAAGCAATGATAACTATATTACAATTAAATTCATTACTTAAACAAACAACAACAATGATTAATAATGTAATAAATGATAATTCAACAAAAAAAAAATTAACATTAAATAAATTAAATACATTTAATATACCATTTACAATATTATCAATGCAACCAAATCAATTAAATAGTGATTATTTATGTATAACAGGTTTAAAAGATTGTCATATATTAAATATTGATAATAATGGACGATTAAGAGAACCAACTATAATTCTTCTACCAAATTTAGATTCAACTGGAAATTATATTATACGAGCACAATGGTTATCAGATAAAAATCAAGCACAAATTGCATTATTAACAGCTGATTTTATTAAAATTTATGATTTAAGTATTGATACAATTAGTCCTATTTATTATTTTATTCTTCCAACAGGTAATTAAACAATCAATGATTATCGAAAATAAAACTATTATTCAAGTCAAGAAATACGAGAGTCTACGAAAATTGTTCGATATGAAAAAGCTGTTAGCGCAATCCCTATGAGATTAAAATGTGAAACATGTTGAAGCTGTTATTGTTAATCGCCGAACATATTGTTTTATTCGATCTATCTTGAGACTCATGTTTTTTTCATTATCTTTTACTTTAATCCTCTTTAGAATTGCAAGAAGGAATCAGTTCATATATGTTCATGAGATGATAGTGATATGTGACCGCTGATCATATATCAAAAATGTCTGTCACAGCCTATGATGATCTATCGAGGCCGTCTGTGATGGTTAGAGCCCATCTGATTCAAGAATTTTTGGGCCCGAAACCGGACTCGATCGAGTTCGAGTCTGGGTAGGATTCGATGGGCTCTAGTGATGATTCCTCGGGGTCGTCTGTGGAGAGAGGAAGGTGGTTCCGAATTCTCACCCCTACACACTTTCACACTCCTTTTAGGTTGTGTTTCATAAAATATTCGAAAAATGTATAATAAAAACAACAAAAGGTTTCAGTCGTATGAAAAAACATTTTCAGTTAATAAGTGACCTGTAGCAGTGTTTGACATGGGTGAAATTTTGTGACCTAACTCATCAACCCATTAGTCTAACTCTATGAAAATCGATTTGGAATAGCATAACTTCTATTACTAGCTCTAATCTTAATCTTTAGCTTATTTTCTAAAATTACATGAGTACTATTACTAAGTTTCAGTATCGAAAGATGTCACCCATACTCAAACCTGCAGTCTATCATTTGGATTGACCATTAATTGATAAAAACTCGTACGAGAAAAGCCTCTCAACTGATTAGATCTTAATACGTGATCTTCCTCGTGAACACAAGGAAAACTCATTTTCGAATTTCAACTTGAAACTTTCCATAGAGACAGAATTGAATGATTCATATCTTTTCATTGTTCCTATCCTAAGATATAGCTATGATAAAAGCTTGTCTTTTATACTACTAATATACACCGATATATTTCATATTCTTCTTTCAGGAAAGAAGCAAATCAAAAAAACCTGAAATTTTTGCAATAAACTATTCTCATTAAGATGTTTGTCTCTATACAAAATTTCAAGTCGAAATTCGAAAATTCATTTTCCTAGTGTTGTTGATAGACATCATGGCATTGACTTTAAAAATACAATACCTCAGCTATGAGTCCGAACTGTTTTCATATCTCATTAGAGTATACATAATGCACATCACCTAAACTTCAAAATGATTAATAAGTTGGATTAGATGTATTTTCAAGATTTTCTCGAAAACTCAAGTAAGTACTAGCATACAACATATAGGGTGTGGGCATGGTCGCTTATGTTGGTGGAATATCTCCTGTGCTGGTACTTAATTGAGTTTCCTGGGATACTCGTAGAGAAGACATCGTATGATCAGTTGAGGATAGGGAACTGTGAGGCCTTCTAGACTCGGATCCGGTCGGGTCGGATTCGGGTACATAATTTAATTTTTTTTTTCGATCCGGGTCCAGCTTTTTATTTTTTGTTGAGCCTGGTTCAACATTTTTGTGGATCCGCTGTTCCCCAGATAAGACATACAGCAACAAGATATAACTGTACGTTGGGTTTTTTTTCTGAGAGTGGTGAATAAATAACTGAAGCCTTGATCCTTTACTTGTTCATGTACACGTAGGGTGTCAGATATTGATGGAAAAAAACTCGAATTTGGATCCGAGCGGGTCCGGGTCCAAATTTTAAACTTTGTTCGGATTCGGGTCTACAGAATAGTGGACTCGCAGCTTCTTAGTTGAGAAACTTCTTCCATTAGATCTTCTTGCTGGTTGATCACTGTGTAGATCATATTTCATCTTCTTTCGAGTGCCATAACAAACCGAACTATTTATATTCGATTATTTTTTGATTCTGAAATCTGTCTTTATTTGTAATACTAATTAGATTCTTCTTTTTATATTTTTTCTCTTTAGGTAAAGTACGTGATTGTACATTTTATTATACAAAACGTAATAATATTGAATATTGTTATATTTTAATAATGGCTTCAAATGGTTATATATATTATGAACAATTATCTGAATCATCATCAGCTCGTAATGGTTCATTTTATGTAACAAATACACTCGATATAAAACATGAAACAATTAATGAAACAAATAATAATGGTATTTTACTTGGTGGTGGTGTATCTGTTTATTTTTCTTCAACATTAAAACTTTTATTTTGGTCATATGTTCATGGAAAAAATTTTTATGGTATTATTGATGAAACAAATATAGAAAAATTATTAATGATACGTTCAATTGATGTTAAAATGACTCCAACAACAACGACAACAACAACATCAACATCAACATCAACATCAACATCAACATCATCATCATCGTCATCATCATCAACAAATGGTAATAATAAATCAACTTCAACATATCATACATTATGTTCATGGTCAGAAATTCCTCATCATCCTGGTTTAATTTATACAATGACACAAATGACAAATAATCCTGTTGTATTAATGATAACACCATCAAATGTAGGTGTAAGTGAAATAAAAATGCAAATGAAAACAACTAAAATTCAAGATATTGTTGCTGTTCGATATGAACAACGAACAACATTTATATTATTAGCTGATGATGGTAGTTTAAAAATTTTATTAGCTGAATCAGATAAAACAAATTATTGGTTAAATAAATTATATCAAAAAAAGAAATATTTTCCTATGATTGACTTAGATTTGAATGATGAATATTTTGATTATGATAATATTAATTGTCAATATACATTATCAGATAATGAAACAGATGATCAACAAGAACCAATTATAAAACGTCGAAAACAAACAATTACAACAGCAGCAACAACAACAACAACATCGACAGTAACATCAGCATCAACAACAACAACTGGTCCAATAAATGAATCTATAAATGGTTTAATTAAATTTCCTGTTGATTTTTTTGAATCATGTCAGTTATTAACTGAATATGAATTTGGTGGACGTGATTTACTTGATGTTTATAATGTTGCACAACTTAAATTACGTTTATCAACTCCAGGAATGTTTATTGCAAATGTTCGTACAGGTGGTTTTACACTTGAAGTTATTAATAAAGATCCAGATAATAAAGTAATAACAGGTGTACGAATACATATTGGTTTATATTCAATGGATAAATCACCACAATATTTTGAATTATTTGGACGTACAATACAAGTTAATAATTTACAAGGACCACGTTGGTATGATTTATGTTTAACACGTGAAGAATCAATTCAAGGTGAAAAAAAATTTAATATATTTATTGCACAATCAATTGATCCAAATCATATAACTGTTATTGATGATGTTAAAGTTTATGGTAAAACAAAAGAAGAATTTCAATGGCCAGATAATATCGATGGATCATTATTAACATCAACAACTAATACAGGAATGACAACAACAACAATACCAACAACAACAAATGCAATTAATGAATATTTACATTCATTTAGAGAAACAAATGATGAAAAAGAATTAGCAACATTACCTTTACCAGATAGGTTCGTAATGTGTTTTAGATTAAAATGTGAATAATGTAAAATTTGAGTACTTTTTATCTTTTATTTTAACATACATATTCAGCTTCAGCCCATTGACTGATTGATGAAAACCAAACAAGGCTTTTGTGTTAATATCTGTGACTCTTATTCATACGTCAAAAGAATTATTTTGAGACGATAAAATAATGTATGCATCGCTTTTTTTAAAATTCATTTTCGTTACTGACGAGAGAATCATCCGAGATGATAACTTCCGTTTGAGATGAAAACGCAGTAAGGATCTGTAGAGACTAGAAGAAACCTAGAAGGATTCTTTCCCATATGCTGTTCTTTTAGAGTTATGACCGCTACACTGGATCTTCTACCTTTAGCATGGTATTTATAAAAACATCGGACAAGTGAATTGTAGCCAAAAAGAGTGATCTCTTCTCCACTTATCAAATCCATCAAAAGGACGGAAAATCTAATTTTCTTCTGGATTTATATCTCGAGAGACGATCATTATTTTTTAGCTGAAACTTTTAGGACATTCTAATAACTTCAAGAGCTGTCTATAGACAGAGTTTTAGATCAGAATTCGTTTGTTCGATTTTTTTTAAATAAATACCGTACCAAAGGTAAAAAGTTCAGTGTCACGGCCATAACTCCAAAAGGGCAGAGCATGGGAAAGAATCCATTTTACCAATCAAATCCAGTCCATGTTTTCTGACGTATAGCAGTGAGATTCCCTTCGACTGGAACTCAAGTTGGAGAGTAATATGTGATGTTGCATAGGTACATTACCTGAGATGCTCGAAGTATCACATGTGATATCAGCAGCATTACCTAAGATACTACAGGCATCACATGAAATGCTAGACGGATTGCATACTTAGCTAGTATCATCCCAGATGATATCTGTAGCATCCCGGGTGATGCCTGGATCATCTCAGGTAACGTACCTATCCAACATCGCATATTACTCTCCACCTAGGATTTCAGTCGAAGGAGTCTCACTACTAAAAATCAGAAAACATGAGCTGGATTTGATTGTAACAGGTAGATGTGTAAGTGAGCTCCAAGTTTGGAGTTTACGCACTTGTTTTTTGACCAACGTTTTGGTGGACCTGGATCCGAACTCGAAAAATATTAAAAATTTCGATATAGGATCCGATCCAGTCCAAACTTAAGGTTTTTTCCACCAATATTTGGCGTCCTCCGTGTATATGAACAAGTGAAGGATCAAGTTTTTATCTATTTATTCGCTACTCTCAAAAAACAAACTGAACGTTGAGTTATATCTTGTTGCTGGATTTCTCATCTGGAGAGCTGCGGACCCAATAAAAAATAAAACATTCGACCCGAACCCACTGGTTCCTACTGGCGTTTCATCTCAGACGCGAGGTATCACCTTGGGTAGTTCTTGCGTTAGTTCCTCATAGAGAATCTAGAACTAAATGTTTCCAATCGTAAAAGGGCTCTAGACAAAAATTGTGCAGATATTCTTGGAATTGATTTTGAGTTTTTTTACCGTGAAAATCAGCACTAATCGAGTTTAAAATGTGATATTCATAATCAATTCAATAAGCTGTACCTAAATATGTGTGTTAAAATCAAAAACTCGAGAGTTTTATTCATAGAATGTATTTTATATATATATATATCTTTTGTTCTTTTAGGTTACTTGTCTATAGTATGCAAGTATTAACTGGTTCATTATCTTTACATCATAATCTAGAAGAACAAAATCGTTCAAAATTAAATTCTGATATTGTTCAATATACTTCTCATATGTTTCATATGTCATTACCACCACAAATACAACGATATTCACGTCGTTTATTAAAAGAATTTTTTTCATCAATATCATCAACAGATTTTGATTTTTATGAACATATCGATCGTTTACAATTAACATTTTTATCTCAATGTTTTTCATCAATAAATTATTTAGAATTATTTAATGATATACAATCATATGAATATTTATTATTATCATTATTATCAATAACACGTCGTCGTCCACATAATATAAATCGATATTTAAATATAATACAAAATGAATCAAAAGATGTTATATCAAAATCAGCATCAATGGAAATATTTATTCCATATTTAATAAATATATTTTTTAATTTATTAAATCAACGTCCAACAAATCCATTACTTGAATCAATTGATAATAAAACAATTAATTTAAAACAAATTGAAAAACTTCTTCATATACTTGTTGATATATATCATTCATTAGCATTAAATGAACCACAAATATCTATGAATTTAATTGTTAATTCTTATATACGTTTATTAACATATCATGATTATCATATTAATTTTATAATTAAAAATGCATTAAATCGTTGTATGCAACCAAAAATTCAACGTTTAATATCAAAATTATCAACAGCAAGTGATTTAAATCAACAAGATACAACAGATAAACAATTTCATTCATTACCATTATCAGCACAAATTTATACAACTGAACAACAAATTCGTCCACGTTGGATAAATACACCATCAACAGAACCAACAACAATAACAACAATAACAAATCCAATTGTTGCCGATGAAAATGCTATGTTACAATATGCACTTGCATTAAGTATGTCAGAAAATCCTGATCAAATTCCACCACCACCACCACCACCATCAATACCATCATCAACAACAACAAATATTCAACAAACAATTGAATATGTTGATAATGATGATGAAACACCATCAACAATACAAAATGATATTGAAATAAATCAAATGTTGGAATTAATGGTTAATACAGATAATATTAATGAACAATCAATAAATATACAAAATGATCATAGTGATAATAATAGTTTATATGAAGGTGATGATGGTCATGTATCAGAATCAAGTTCAACAACAAATGAAGGTGGTGAACAAAATACTAACGATGATAATACAACAATAACAACTAATAATAATAATGATAATAATATAACATCAACACCAATACCATCAACACCATCACCATCATCACAACCACCATTATCATCATCATCAAATGATTCAAATTCAACAATAAAATTAAATATAAATGAATCAATTGATTCTAATATATATGAACAACGTTTATATGATTTAAAACATTTAATTGTTGAAAAATTATTAGATAATCTTGATGAATATTTATTAAATAATACACAATTAAATGGTTTAAATTCCATAGCTTATTTACAATTATTATTAACATTAACAATTGAATTTGCATCAAAATCTGATCATGATAATCAACAATTTGTTCATTATATATTAAAAAGTTTATTAAGACAAATGATATTTTTAAAAGATATTAATCAAAATAATATGAATGATTTAATTAAACGTACATCACAACATGAAATACAATTAATGTTATTAAGATTATTTACTGTTTATGTTTCATTTATGCTTAAAGTACGTGATAATGAACGTGAACAATATTTACATTTATCATTAACAGCAGCTAAACAATTAGATGAATCAAATGTTGTTAATTATTGTTTATATGCATTACAAATTGTTTATAAATATTTATTAAAACAACCAATTGATGAAAATTTATTAAATGAACAAATGATTTTATCACCAAGTGGTACAACAACATCAACAACAAATTCACAAACATCATCTATATCAATAATGACACTTTTAAAACCAGTTAATCAACAATCATTACCAGATTTATCACCATTTTTTTATAAACAATATACAAAACATCATGCAAATGATGTTTTTGAAGCATATCCAGAATTATTAGCAGAAATTGCAACAAGATTACCATATCAAGTGAGTAGACAAAAACAAAACAATCAATTTAATATTTTTTGTTTTATTCTTATAGATGAAAAAAGTCATCGATTATACATCTGAATCACGTCCATTTTTACTTTCATCTGATTGGCAAAAATGTTTATGTGAATATTATGTATTACCTCAAGGTTCATTTCTTAAACGTCAAATTCGTAAATTACTTATGTATATATGTGGTTCACGTGATAAATATCGTAAATTACGTGATTTTCATGTATTATCAACAAATATAACTGAAATAAAAAATATTTATGAAGAAATTTTTTTATTAAACAATAATGAACAACGTAAAACAATATCAACACAAATTCCTTATGTTACATTAATGCGTCTTGTTGATCATTTAAAATCATGTCAAGATATAAGTAATCAACGTTGTTCAAATTGGCAAAAATTTTGTAAAAATGATTCAACAATATTACATTTTCTTGTTCAATTAATTATGCTTGTTGATGATTCATTAGTACCATTTATTCTTCATTTATTAATTAATTCAATATCATCACCATCATCATCATCATCATCATCCGCAGCAACAGCAGCAGGATCAGCACCAACATCAGCAGCAACATCATCATCAACAACAACAACAACAACAACAACAACATCAAATCGAATATTAAAAACAAGTAAATCTGTTCGTCCAAATGATTTTGATTCAACTGATGATATATCAATATGTTCTATTGCATTACAATTTTCTAAAATAATATCAAATAAATTATTAGAAGATTTTATTCGTTTATTTTTATTAGAAAATAATCAACAATCAATACGTTGGTTAACACATACATTTTTATATAATTTATATATAAATTCAAATAAACAATTACAAGATTATATATTTGATTTATTAATTAATTTATGGTCAACAATATCATATTATGGTTTAAAATCATTTCAATATATTGATTTATTAGGTTATATTATAATTAAAAATAAAGATGATAAACGTACAAATGAATTTTTACCTAAATTAGAATTAATGTTAAAAACACAAAATCAATTATTATTAAATCATCCAAATGCATCAATTTATCGTCGTTTATCAACAATAATTGATATTGAACAAAATAATGGTTATTATTTTGAAACAGAACCATGTTTAGTTTGTAATAATCCTGATATACCATATCAACAAGTTAAATTACAAGCAATTAAACTTGATCAACGTTATACAACACAATCACATATTGTTAAATTAATTCAAGCATATTCAATACAAAAATTACATATAAAAATGTCTGAAATAAAACGTAATAAAGCTGTACGTACAATACGTTTTTATTATAATAATCGTCATGTACAATCAATAGTTGATTTAAAAAATAGTGTTAATTGTAAATGGTTATTAGCTAAAACAATTAAATTAACAAATATACAACAAACAGAAGTTAAAATTGATTTTATTATACCAATTATTGCTTGTAATTTAATGATTGAATATGTTGATTTTTTTGAAACACCAACATCTAATTTACCAACAGTTACAGATACAACAACATTACAATGTCCAAGATGTAATTCAGCTGTTGCAGCAACACCTGGCATTTGTCCTAATTGCGGTGAAAATGTTTTTCAGGTTCGAATAAAAACAAAAAAAAAACACCAATGACACGAATATTTATCGATTGAAATACTATACAGAAAAAAAAAAAGAATCTATTCGCATAATCTCTGCAAGATTAAAATATAATGAAGTTGCTGAGAAATAAATTCACTGATATAGATTTCGAGTACAAGCAATGTAAACCAGGGACAAGAGATAGTTATTTTGAATTCAAGTGTTTTATAATAATCCTACAGTGGATTTCGGCCCATGGGGTTCAAAATTTTCCGATCCGAGTCCGGATTCAATCCGATAGGCTCTTCTTTAATGTTGCGAGTATGTCTGTCATAGTCGATGAAAAGAGAAATGGCAACACTGGAATATCTTTTATCGTCTGTGGGAAGGAAAGGTTCGAAGTTCTGTTTGTATATTTCAATAGTACATTTAGATCGTGTATCACAATACGAGAATGGAAGATTGTTATATGTATCAAGTGTCTCATAGAATAAGAATCGATCAGTGTTTTAATATATGTCTTTTAGTATTCGTTTGTTCAGACTTATTATTTTGTTTCACTAAATTCACATTTTAATTTCTCTATAAATTCAATGTATTTAAATCTAGACTATTCGATAACTAATGGTTCTTGATGCTAGTAGAGAGAAAGTTATTTTCATTTCACTGTTATATAGTTGATGGATGTGAAGTTCCGTACGTTGATCTACATGCCTCTGATAATGACAGATGTTATTTACATTAATAAAAAATAAACCATTTTATAGAGAATTAAAAGAAATATTATTAAAATACGGAGAATTCTGTTTTTCATAGGGCACCCGATTGATAATATGTAGTTACGGATTTGAGGCTGCGTTCGCGAAACCAACTCCCTCGGTATCTTGAAAAATTTTCGTTTTTCTTCAGTATTTTTATTGCTCATCAATTCTATAATGAAAATTCATTTATATTTTGCTTTTTTTTTTTAATCTCTAGTGTCATAAATGTCGATCAATAAATTATGATGAACGTGATCCATTTTTATGTAATTCTTGTGGTTATTGCAAATATTGTAAATTTGATTTTATTTTTACTGCTAAACAAATTAATTATGTTGAACCTATTGAATCCGATGAAGATCGTATTAAAACAATTGCTAATATAAGTCAATTATTAGAAAAAACCGATAAAATCTATCGTCAATTACTTAATCAAAAACCTATTCTTGAATATTTATTAACTAAATTAAATTCTGATGATCAAACTTCAACTTTAATACCTCCATTACCAACAACAACAACAACAACAACAATAACAAATCCAACAACAACAACAACAACCGGTGACACATCTGATCAACAACAACAACAACAACCTCCTAGTGTACCAACACCAACAATAACTTTACCATCAACAAATAATCCAAATGGTATTAATCGTATTGTACAACAAATAGCACCAAAATATAATATTGAATGTCGTCAAACATATGATGAACTTGGTAAATATATACAAAAAATAATATGTGCACGTAAAGAACTTAATACATATGATCAACGTCATTCAAATTCATTATCAACAAAAATAATGATAACAACACCATCACGATCACATCATTGTTATGGTTGTATATTATCAACAATATCACATTGTATATTACTTTTACGTGCATTTGTTACATCATCAAATCGTTTAAAACAATCTATAACAAATAATATATCATTAATTGATGAATTATTATTAAATAATATACGTTATACAAATCAACAAATACGTCATGATGTACGTTTATTATTTTGTTATTTAACACGTGATAATATACAATTAACTGATTATATAACAACAAAAATTTTAAATAAAATTGAAATAATTTTTGAACAAAAATTTATTTTATCATCATCATCATTAATTAATTATGATATATTAGTACTTTTTTCACTTATACAACGTTCAAATCAAGATGATCAAGATTTATGTTGGGAAAATAAATTACGTTGTATATTTAAATTATTTCTTTATTCATTAAAAATTTCAACACCACAAATACTTGAATTAATAACATTACCTTGTTTAAAAATGTTATTACAATTATCTAAATCACAACAAATAACAACAAATATTAATTCAACAAAATTAATTTCAATTGATATTGAAAAATTTCTATCAAAACAAATAACATATCAAGATTGGAATAATAATTTAAATGATAATAATAATAATTTTTCTTTAACATCTACTAATAAATCATGGTTAGAAAAATTAATATTTTGTTCACAATCAGCAACAATACGTTATTTAACATGTAAATTAATTCAAACACTTTGTATAAATGATAAACAAAAATTATTTATTATACAAATATTAATGAATTATTTACATAATATATGTGATGAAAATCTTTTAAAATATTCATATGAATATGTACAATTAATTAAAGATTTATTAATAAATGATAATCAATTAAAATTAATATTATGTAATGATGAACAATTTAATATAATAAAACATATTGCTAAATTAATTGAAAATGAAATATTAATTATTAATAAACAAGATGAAAAAAATTTATTAAATTCAAATTTAACATTTGGTTATTCAATTAAATCTTTAACTGAATTATTAAATTTATTTTTACAACAAGATGAATTAAAACAAAAATATAAATCAATATTAATTGCTATTGTATTAAATGGTTATTTAACATTAAAAAAATTAATTATACAACGTACAAAATTAATTGATGAAGCACAAAATAAAATGTTAGAATTATTAGAACAAATGACAAGAGGTAATGAACAAGAAACAAGACAATTTATGATTATTTGTATTGATACAATTGAAAAATTTCAATTAGATGATATGCAAACACCATTATTTATATTTGAACGTTTATGTAATTTAATTTATCCAGAAGAAACTATGCAAGAAAATAAAGAATTTTTTATTGTCGTAGAAAAAGATCCAAATCAAGAAGATTTCTTACAAGGTTTGTTTTGAACAATAAGAAAATTCTTACTTTCACTTATATCTATTGACTTTTGAAATATCCTACTAGCGATACTAAATATGGATGTGTAGTAATGGTGTAAATATTGACAGTGAGTCACCAATACAGGGCACACTCGAACACTGATTAAGGTTTGATGGAAAACATAGAAGAGAAAAATAAACGAATTGAAGATATCGAATGGAAAAAAAGTCGAAAATGGAATTTTTTTAATAATATTAACGATAAGAAGAATTTTATTCGATCATATGAAAAAAGACAATAGAAAAGAAAACAGCAAAGTTTATTAATCTTACTTCCGTTTCTGTGGAATGTCGGTATCAGAGATATCGGTCGCGGCTGGAAATCTGCTGATACCGCGACACAGTCCTAAAAGAGCTAAGACTACTGCGACAGGGCCTAAAAGACTCAAGGCTACCGTGACGCGGTAAACTATATAAAATGCTGCCGCGGTGGTGACAGCGCCACCATGAACATCTCTGACGGGTATAGGCCTTTTCTTTACTAATACACCTTCACTCATACATGCACACACCTATGAGGATATGATAAATTTCTACTTCCAGGAAATTCAAGTTTCTGTACATTATTATCCAATAAACGATATAAGCTAAAGAATACTGGTGGAAGGGTCCTGATTAAAATGTCTATGATGTATTGGCTATAATTGATTTTTACACATTCAATTGAAGAGATACAAAGCGCAGTTCGATTTGGGGTTGAGTCGGGAAATTCATCTTAATATATCTTTGGAGGTTGGTTGAGTTAGGAAGGGTGTATATGGGTGAAGATAAGACCCGCACTTACACTAGTACCTTCAGCAAAACCCTTATATTAATTTTATCTTGTTTCTTTCATTTGCATAATTGTGAGCTAGCGTTGTATTTCGAATATATTTTAGAAGAAAAAGAGAAATTAAAACAACTATTTGATGGTGTCAATTATACATGCTAATATTCAAGTTACTGATCAAAGCACTTGTGAATAGTTAACAACAAAAAGATCTGCTTATTTCTCAAAGCATTAAATTAATTTTCCATAAAATTTTTCTCACAGTCATTTCGTTTGAATTTCTTGGGAATAGGAATATACTATGTCATGACACCCACACTTACAGCCATACCTGAAATCGAAAATTCAGTAAAAATACTCTTAATCTTGGAAGGATAAGATATGAGCATGAATACATTTAGACGTCGACTAGTCTCGCCAAGTTCTACATATTGACAAACTATAAGCTCGATTGACGTCCGACAGGTCAAGATGTTCACTCGTTGAATCGCTGTATTAAAAATATCTTTCTATTAGTAGCAATAGTTATTTCATATTTCACATTTTAATCTTGAACGAGTTGTGCTAATAACTTTGAGACTTTATTTGACTCACAAATATTGAACTATATTAGCAAACTGATTCTAATAAGATAGTCAGTTAGTAATTGCTATGATTTATTTATTTCATCATTCTACTCGTAATTAGATCCGCTTTGAAACTCTGGAATATCGTTCTGATCGAAATCAATTCTTACACAAATTTTAAGACGAATATGTATCCTAATAGTTCAAAGTATTCATTTTCACAAAAATAAAAAAGAATGAAATTATAATCTCAACTTTTTTTTTTCTTTTATGTTTAACTTGAAATCGATCAACAATTAACATCATATAATGAAAATAATTTTCATTTTTTTTTTGTCTCTTTTCAGGACGAATGATGGGTAATCCATATAGTTCAGCAGATCCAGCTATGGGTCCATTAATGCGTGATATAAAAAATAAAATTTGTACTGATTGTGAATTAATTGCATTACTTGAAGATGATAATGGCATGGAATTACTTATTGCAAATAAAATAATTAATTTAGGTTTAGCTGTTCGTGATGTTTATAAAAAAGTTTGGTTACCATATATAAATTCTCATCAAACAACACCATCAAATGCTGATCCAACAGCAAGTGTTCAACCAGTTGTTAATTCATCACAAAATGAATATGAACCTATGCATATTGTTTATCGTATGCGTGGTTTATTAGGTGATGCAACAGAAGATATAATTGAAACATTTGATACAAAGAAAAATGCTAATGAAAATGGTGAAGATGATCCTGAAGATATATATCGTTTAGCTAATGTTCTTAGTGAACATTCAGGTTTAGAAACTATGCTTAAACGTTTAGATTCAATTCATGATATGTCATCAGGAAAAGCATTATTACAAATTTTATTAAAATTATTTGAATATGCTATTAAACTTAAAGTTAATCGACAACGTTTAATTAATCCAAATTTACGTTCAATATCATCTATGTTAAATAAACTTAATTTATTATTAAAAACTGAAACTGAAGAACAAGGACGTGATCAAGGACTTTTATTATTAACAGAAAAACTTCTTTTTATTATGGATCAATTATTTCATGAAGCAAGTACAACATTATCACAAGATAAATATAATGAATTTTCTGTATCATGTGAAGGTTAGTTATTATTTATTGATCTTATCAATATTTTTTGAACATTCATTTCTATTGAAAAAAGTTGTCATATTTTTGTAATAATACTAGAAAAGATTTAACAATCTGTGTACTACTAAAAAAGAAGTAACCTGCAGTGCGAAAGTTATTTACTCATTTTTCGGCTACTTACCTACTGTTGGTTAGAAATCAAACTTTTTCGCTTTTTCTGAATATGTATTCAGAATTTCCTTCTGAGGAAAGATTGAACAGTTATCAGTAAAATTTTGTCAAGAAGTCCAAAACTGTATCTATAGAAAGCAAAATAGCAATTTTGGTAAACTACCTCTAACTAATGTCTATGCCAGAATTGAAGAGAAGTGAGTGTAAGTTTAATAACTCGACAATGGCAACAGTTATCGACTTGCAGTTTTCAGAAATCCAAAGAAGAGATTTTCGAACGTCTTTTTGTCTGATACTATATAAGATAGAATTATTTCAAAATCCATCATCTTAAAGAAATATTTTTAAAAAATGTATGAAAATGATATTGTGTATCATAGAAATTTTGATGAAAAATTAGAAAATTTACTTAAAATCGACAAAATCCTATATAATTTGATAAAATAGATCCGAAATTTAGTTTGCTTCGTTTTGAAAGATGAGAAGATAATTATTCTAATCGTTCCTTGAGCTATAGATCTGAAGTACATGTCAAAATCAAAAATTACATTGGAATGAAACACTATTTTCATGCATGTTTTGCGAAGATGATAGATTTTAAAATAACTTTGCTTTATATAGTATCAAATAAAGAGACATCTGAAATTCTCATCTTTCGATTGCTAAAAACCGCAAGTCGATAGTTGTTGCCGTTATCGAGTTATTCGGACTACACCCACTCTTTAAATTCTGGCGTGAACATCTCTAATGAGAATGCAGAATTGACGGAAAACATCGAAAGAATAAATATATGTCTGCAGTATAAATTCGGTATGACTATTGGCTTAGATCTTTTCTACTTACACTTCTCAGTTATCGCATTGGTAGCAGTCAGCAAACAAAACAAGTTTTCAAGGGCGATTTGAAATAAATCCAAAACGATCGCTGCTCGGACTAAGTCTTTTGAAGGGAGGAGAAAAAATAAGATAAATATTTGTTTATAGTTTTAATAATACTCGTTTTTGTTTCTATATTTATGACAAATTATTTATATAATCAGAATTAAAGATAAACGAAACAATAGTCATAATTTCGAGTATAGAAATTCTTTCACAATTATGAATTTTGCCTTTTCTTTTTTTTTTTTTTTGTATTAGGTGATATTGAACAATTACGTTCATTACTTAATTATATAAAATTACCATTTGTTAAAACTCATCCAAGTTTAATGGAAGCTCTTATTCATTTATTACCATATTTATCATTTGGAAATAAAGAAAAAATGCGAACATTACTTGATTATTTTAAATCATATTTAGAATTTGATCGATTTGATCTTGAACAAACATCATCATCAACAACAACAACAATATCAAATGATAATGATAGTCAATTACATTTAGATTGTTTTTGTGAAATATGTAAACATTTAGATAAAAAATCTGTTTATGGTAAAGAATTTCGTGATCTTGTTAATGAATCAAATGGTATTATTGATCAATGTATAAATTATATTGAATCAAATTCACCACAAGTTAAAACATATTTAGGTATGCAAGATCAAGATAGTTGGAAAGAATTTTTAAATAAACCAAGTTTATCTTATGTATTACGTTTATTAACGGGTTTATCATATGGACATGAACATATTCAAATGAAAATTGGACAAAGTTTAATTCCAATTTTACATAAAATTGAACAATTAACAACAGCTGGTAAAGTTGGTGTTTTAGCTGAAGATCTTTTACATTCATTAACTGAAAATGAACAAGTTGCAAAAAAAATTGATGATGTTAGAAATCAAACACGTGCAGAAAAAAAACGTTTAGCACAAGAAGCACGTGATAGAAAAATGCGTGAATTAAATTTAACAAAAATAACACGAAATAAAAGTGTATCAGAATCATCAGCAACAGCATCAAAAACACCTGTATCACATGGTGATTTAACTGATGAAACTGGTCATGTTTGTTGTATTTGTCGTGAAGGTTATAAATATTTTCCAAATAAAGTTTTAGCTATTTATACATTTACAAAAAAAGTTGATATTGAACCATATGAAGCTAAAACACGAAAAACACCTGGTTATGCAACTGTAACACATTTTAATATTATACATATTGAATGTCATACATCAGCTATTAAACAAGCACGATCAAGAGATGAATGGGAATCAGCTTTATTACAAAATGCAAATACACGTTGTAATGGTTTATTACCATTATGGGGACCTGATGTTGCTGAAGCACAATTTACAACGGCACTTGCAAGGTTTGATTTTGAGAATTCGTTTTTGTTTTTTCGTATGTGATTAAAATTGTTTACTAACGATGGAACATCTCCATCATAAACTAAAACTAAATAGATCTTAATCAGTCTAGAAAAATTCTCACATGTAGTTTGGGTCTACTAATCTTTCGGTAAACAAATACTAGATTTTTACGGGTCTATCCGATTTCTTGTATTGATTGGGAGTGTTAAGAAAATGTTCAAACTCTCCTGATCCGTATAGATTTACGGCCGGACCTGTACGTCTTTTCCAGTAGTTCCAAAACATAAAATAAGAATAAACATAACTGTGTGCATAGAGATAAGTATGGATCGCGGGTAAGGATGCACGGGATCAAAGTTTTTTTGCCCCTGCACATCTCTATATGGGATAGATTCAGATGTAGAATAAAGACATGTTCTAACGATGGAACTCCACCAAGTGAGTAAAAACTTTTGAAGTAATATTTTGTCCATAAGTAGGACCTGGCCTGACTAGAAAAAGCCTAAAAGGATAAATTCCCATAGGTCTTTCTTTCGAAGTTATGACCGGTTTACTGGCTTTTCGGCCCATGACAAGGTATTTAAAAAAAATCGAATGACGAAATTTTGTCCATATGTAGATCTCATGGTCCTTAGTATGTGCTAAAAGTTTCAATGAAAACGGATCTTTCTTTCGCGAGATAATGAATATATAAGAAAAACTTTTTTTTTTGTCTGTGAAATGTGGATACTTCTTTCCAATTCATTATCTCGAGAAAGTAAGACCCATTTTCGTTGAAAATTTTAGCACTTATTAAGGATCATGGGGCCTATATATAGGCAAAATTTCAGATCAAAACTTCGTCATTCGATTTTTGCTAAATACCTTTTCATGGACCGAAAACTTAGTAAACCGTTCATAACTCCGGAAGGAAGATCTATGGGGACTTATTCTTTTAGACTTTTTCTAGTCTCACCAGATCCTACCTATTATGCTTGAGTTTATCGATTAGTGTAGAGTCTATTGAATTAAATATGTAGATAGCTTAAGCCTTAAATTTTGTAACTTGAAAATTCAGTACCTCTTGAGCGAAGGTCAGTCAACTCGGTATTATTCGATAATTTTTCTTTTCTCATAAGACTTATCAAAAATTCAGGCTAATACATCCTTCTATCTACATGAAAATCAGAAATGTTTATTTTTGCTTGTAGTCATAGACTATAATTCTAAACCTATTTATACTCAAAGATTATATGAGAACTTGTGATAAGTATTTATAGACAAGATTTTTTTTTGAGAAAAAATTTCCTTATAATTATTACACTATTGTTTTATTAATTTAGATATGATACGAATATAATCGAAGCAACAGGTATTCGTGAAACATCACCAACATTATCAATTCATGATATAAAACTTTTATTACTTCGTTTTGCTGATGTACAATCATTTAGTGAAGATACAGGTGGTGGTGGACGAGAATCAAATATACGTTTGATTCCATATGAAATGCATACAATTCTTTATGTTCTTACAACGTATGAATAAAAAATTAGATTGTTTTGTATTCATTTTTCTTCTTCTTCTCTTATTTTGATTTGTAGAACTCGACAAATTGAACGTGAAGAAAAATTATTACAAAATTATCTTAGTCGTCCTGATTTATTAATAAATGAAGTATTTGAAGTTGATGGTCCTTTCTTTCTAACAACATTATCATTAATTATAATGAAACCAAATGATTGGGAAAAAAATCGTCGTATTTTTCTTCAAAAACTTCTTCTTACTACACATATTCGATCAGTCAATACATCAAATGATCGAACAAAGTAATGAAAAATTAATTTAAAATGAAAACAAAATATTAAATCTAATTATTTATCTTTTCTAGAATTGCTTCAAAAGCATTAAAATCATTTGCAACTTATAAAACAACTCTTGTCTTTTTTGGTCTTGTCAATGCATTTTTTGTTCATATGTTAAATCCGGTAAAATAAAGAAAAAAAAAATAAAGTTTTTTTTTTATCATTCGAAATAAATTGTTTTATAGCGTTTTGATATGACATCGACCCTCCCATACAATCAACAATTGGCACAATTTCTTCGTTGTAATGATGCGTTTATTATGGAAGCATGTACAAAAATCTTAAAACATTTCGAACAAGATTTACTTCCAAGTCAAACATTTGAAGCATTATTTAATGCATTAGATTTAAGTCAATTATCTGAACAATGGATACAAGATGCTATTAATATATTGCCATAGAAAGAAAGAAAGAAAAATAAAACTCTTATGTGCAGTCTTTATTCATCCTAGAGCTTGCTAAAATTTACGTTTCTTTCCGTCTTGGATATTTTAAGTTTACTCTTCTTTTGTTTGTGTTTTTTTTCAAGCTAAAAATAAAAAATATTAAAAAAAAAAAAAGAAAACAAACGAGCGATTACTCCTTTTCTATACTGTTCTCACATGTACAACATATAAGCGTATAAAGAAAAATAAATATGATATTGATTGTTTTTAATTCTTTTTTTTTTTCTTTTCAACTATATACAGATAAAGCTTTTAGCGCATCATACATTTCTTCATCATCGTTATCAACAATGTCTGTCACGGTTAGAAATGTGCAGAACCACGGGAAAGAAAAGTTACCAAGACCGGCATTGACACTACAAGAAAAAAAAAGGTTGTCCAAATCGGAACTGAAGATTCAGCTAAATATTCTGTGATTTGAAGTGAATTATCTTATGAATCATAAAAGTACTAGTTGTTGACTAAATAAATATAAAAAAAGAAGTATTGAAGAGTTTTTTTTAGATGAGACGCAAATAAATGTTAGAATAGGTTTTTATAGACTGAAACCAAGAACTATGAGTCCGCACATCTTTAGTTACGGTTTGTGACGTTCCCATGGTTATGTTTGTCACGATTTGCAGGTGAGGAGGAGTTGAGTGCAAATTTTTACTCTTATACTTCAGCATTCCTTTCAAGTTCAAAGAATCAGAAAAAGTCTAAAGGAATAACTTAATGAATTTTGAACTAATATTTATTTATTAAATACGTTATACACAAAACTGTTTTATTCATATCTGCAATAATCACTAAAATCTGATGTTCAAATTAAACTAATATTGGTTTTCTTTATTTGGAATAGCGTTGTAAATGAAGACATGAATTTTTACACGAAGTTCAACTTCTGTCTATAAGATTCGAAAATTTCTATTATGAAACTGTGTTAAATGAACTAAATTTTATGTATAACTCAAGTTGTTCTAATAGATTTATCGATTACCGTTAAAGAAATTTTGAATTCTGAAGTGGCATGATAATCTTAATTCAACATTAGCAACCTAAAAAAGATTCATCGTTTACTTTCTCGAAAAAAAAATAGCAATAACAAAAAAAAAGAATACATGATAACAAACCCATCACGCATATCTGTTTTAATTCTATGAGAAGCAATACAATTGACCATAATTATGTTGGATGAGAGGTAGATACTGTGCGCTACAATTCTTAATAGGCATCAATGAAAAAGATTAAATAGAATATATTGACGAAAAAAAACATATCCTCTAAGTAGAGAGAGATGACATAAAGATGAAACAGCCCTTGATCTTTCAAATCCTTGTAATTTTTCAGGACAACGGAAAAATTCGATTTAGAAGCCAGATGAAAGGATAATAGTATTAAAAGAATTGGTTTACATTCAACTATTTGGCATGTTTTCTTTCTATTATTAGAAAGAAAATAGCATTGGCCATAAAATCTACGTTTGCAATAAATCAAGTTCATTTTGTTGTACATAAGAAAATGTTTGTTGGCGAACTTTATTCACTTGAGAAATGTGTTGAAATGACTTCATCTAATTAACTCAGTTCACTCATCTAAGAAGCATAAATTTCTATACATAACGTCGACCATAGATAGCAAGGAATATTTTCTGATAGTCAAAAAATGATTATAATTGTCGGTCTTTCATGGTATTCGATCTTCAATTATCGACAAGTTCATATGATAATGAATAGTACGATGTTCTATTACTCTGATACAAATCGAATATGTATTGTTTGAAGAAAGAAACCTAGCTCAAGATGAAATCTTCAAATATCTCTCTTAAAGCTTACTATGTTCAAAGAGTAATCTATATAGATTCAATATATGCTTTATTATTTTCGTTAGGTTCATTCCAGTGCTCAAAATTGACTTTCGAAATGACGATATCAAATTGATTTAAATTTTCTACAATTTGATGAAATAGTTCGTTTTTTTTCATACATCTGACTGAACAACAAGAGCACAAACGTCGAACGAATGACATTTGTCGGTCACTTCGTCATGTAACTTCGCAGACGATAAATAATGAATGATTACAGCAACATTCTGTTCTGCCAAACAAATAATAACTGCTGTACTAATTCGTCTATTCGAATCGGTGACTAGGGAGAAGAGCGAGGAATGCAAAGATAAGAAAGAGTCGCCAAGGTCATAGAAAGAACGGCGTCTATGTGCACTTCAATGATGTCTCTTTGAATATTTGTTGTTTTAGACTTTTTTTCTTAAAGATTCATCTCTAAATTCCCAACAAATTGGTATTTTATTTTTAGTTATACGGACAATATCCAATAGTTTCTCATGTATGTTTCAAACAAACAGTACAAGACGAACAATTTTGTAAAACAGCGTCATGTCGAAAGGCTTTTTGATTGCATGTTTCAATTTTTCATTAAACATGTCTTTCGATGTTACTTTCTTTCAATTGATGATTGCAACAAATTTGCTGATACAATCATTTTAAATCTGAAATGATTAGTGATCAATGATTCTTGTCTATGAAAGACGGAAACTTTTCGTAGCATTATTGCTGGAGTTAGTGCTGAATGTGAGGATTTATATTGTCCTCTTGAAATGTCTAATCTTCTCTAAAGATTTCATTTCCATATTTTAGTGCTAGCGGAAGAATCGTATGGGTATAATGATTATGCAGCATCTTCTGAAATTCAAGTTAGACTAATAGAAATGCGCAATCATCTCAATTAGCTGTTGCCTCTCCAGATTAATCGAAGTCAAATTCATGTTCTCTGTGCTCGAAAGCTTCCAACATCGTTTTTTTTTTATACCGAAAACTTTCATTAAAAAAACGAAATAGTCAATCAGTAGTAGCCATATTACATGGTTTTTTTAACATCATTCTTCTGTACATAAATTTTAGAAATTAAATATAACCAATTATTAGTAACTCCGAATGAATCATGATTGACAAATAGCCAATACAATAAATTATAAACTATGAGTTGTGCAATGCAAGTAATAAAAGAAAAGAAACGATATGATGATAGTCGATCGAATACCTTTTTTTTCATTCTGTTCTTTGCTCACAATTACCTATTTAAACACACGTGGATGCATGTAGTTATTATTTATTCAAGCATCTTATATAATAAAATTCGCACACTGTATTATTTGTTGTTTTTTTTTTCTTTTTTTTTGTTAAAATGTCCGATGAGAAGATATATACTATCTCAGATCTTCATGTGGATCATGATGAGAATATGAAATGGGTTGAACAATTGTCAAATGATAAATATTTAAATGATACAGTAATTATTGCAGGTTAGTGTTATATATTTTTAAAAAAATGTTCTGTTACAAAATTATACTTGAGTATTCTAGGTGATGTTACACATGTTCTATCCAAATTAGTACATACATTAAAATTATTCAAGTCAAAATTTAAAGATGTTTACTATTGTCCGGGCAATCATGAATTATGGACTAAATCATTAAGAGAAGATGAAGAATTACAAATTTATAATTCCATAGAAAAATTTCACTATGTAGAAAATAATAATATATAATTATTATTCTATTCAGTACTTATACATTTATTTCATTTTCTTAGATCTTAGAAATTTGCGATGATATTGGTATACATACAAGACCTGGTGTTACTAGTCAAGGTGTAACTATTGTACCCTTGTATGGATGGTTAGTGTCGTATTGATGTTTTACTCTCAAATTTATCTCCCTTAACAAAAAAATTAGAGAATATAAATTTAAATGATACTTTTACGTAACCTATATGTCTTTCAGTGGTGTAGTTAGAGATTTTTTATTTGAGGTTAATTTATCAGTCAAACTGTTTTCAGAAGTAGGCAGCTATGGACAATTATTACTATTTCCAAAAAAAAAAATTCTTGGACCATAACTTTTCAAGATGTAGACAATTGCCCAATCGCTAGATACACAACTGATGTTTTTCGAAAATAAATGCAAGAAAAACTATTTTGATTCGGAAGATTTATGAAGTATTTTCCCTAATTTTTTCATTCAACAGCCTCGTGGTTTTGTCTCTACAAAAAGATGACTATAAGTTTTTCGATGATTTTTGACTATAGAGTGAGATATATGTAGGCTTGTGAAAATAGACTTCTTCTATCTGATGATGTGTATAATGATAGGGCCAGAACACTAACACTCCTCTTATTTTGGTTGGGCAGTGACTAGTGGTACCCTCGCTAAGTGTGTCGTGTTATCAAGAATATATAGTGATAATAAAGTAGCTACGCTCTTCATTACTCTTCCCAAAACAGAAGAGGAGCTACAGTTCTAGTTTCACCGTTAGCTGCTCTACTGAGCATTTGTATCGTAGATACTACAGCACCACGTATTGATATGTCAATAGTACGCAGTGTAGAACCCGCTAATGCATGCATTATTAGATAGAGGAGGAGGTCTATCTCTACTAGCCTACATATATTCCGTTCTCTAGTCAAAACATTATAGTCGTCTTTTCTTTCTATCATATTCGCGCAGCATATGAATATTTTCTTTACTATTTACTTATATTCTTTTTAGGTATGATGATAGTTTACATATGCCGGTTCCAAATGTTGAAAGTGACTTACAACTCTGGACGGATCATTATCGGTGTCAATGGACAGATGTATGAAAAGCTAAGATTTATATCTTTGATAGATTTTATATTGTATTTTTCTTTTAACAAAAAAAATTTAGGAAGTACCACAACGTGAAGCTGCAAAATATTTTGTTAATCTAAATGAGCAACATTTATCCAGTTTAAATAAGAATAAAAGCAACTCAAAAATCATAACATTTTCACATTTTTTAACAAGCAAGTATGTATTGAATGACAGTATTACTAAGTTTATTACATACAAAATACCTTATTTTCTTTAAACATAGAAAATTAATGCAGGCATATCGTAGTGAAATGTCTCGTCGTCGACAAAAATGGCTCGAAAGTCAAAACAACACACCACAAAATGAAGAAATAGCAAGCGGAACATTGACAGCTAATTTTTCATTAGTTGCTGGAACTGAATTATTAGATGAGCAATTAAAATTAATTAAACCACAAATACACATATTTGGTTAGTAGTATCAACCAAACATTCTATGCTAAAAAAAAGACTTTTTTTTTTATTAGGTCATAGTCATCGTAAAATGATATTGGATATTGGTGATGGTATAAAATATATAAATAATCCACTTGGTTATACAAGAGAAAGAGAAAATGGATTAATTGAGCCGCCACATGAACTTTACGAAATAAATTTAATGGAAAAATAAAAAAAATAAATATAAAGATCTCTCTAATATCAAAATGCTAAAGAAAACTATTAGCAAAACGTGTTATGCACAAAAACTTTATTGTTAGGCGAACGCTAGTGATGATATGATCTAGAATAATAGAAGATAGACTTCGGTAATTTCTTGATTAGATTCGTCATAAAGCTGATTCAACCTAGGTTTTCTTGGCTCCAAGTAAAATATGATATATTCTATTATTTCTAAAGATGAATTTTAAAAAATAATGGGTGAGTCATAATGAGTCGAACTAATTGTAAATACAGTTTTTCAATCATTGACTATTCATTCATACATCAAAAGAAGTAGAATTTTAAACTCGACAAAATATTGAACTTCACTTTTACTTAAAACAAACGAAAAAAAAACCATGTGATATCGTTACTGAGAAAGTCACAAGGTTTCTAAAAAGATGAAAATATTTTCGATGAGATCGTTTATCTTTTCAAAGCTTTAAATGACAGTTTCATGTTCAAATTCAGAACATAATAAATGAAAAAGAAAGTCTTATATTCATTTTGGAGCTTGCTCGGTTTTTCGGGAATTTTAACAAAAACATATCGCGCTGTGATTCAACGACCACGTAATCTTGTCGTGAACGAAATTCTGTATTTTTTTTTTTGGTGTCCAAATAATTACTGTGCAACTGAGCTTTAACTGAAGAAAAAACTTCATTGTTTAAAAAACTCTCAAAATTACTATGAAGGATATTTTCAAGGGATTTTCAAAAAACTTAGATAGATTATCCAATTTAACATCGATTCAAAAAAAAATGGCAAATGTCATAGTAAAACTTTGCATAAAAATCTTAGTTGGAAAGCTGCATATATTTGAGTAATCTTTTGTATCACGTAAAAGAAAATGTATATAAAGCAGTCTTTCATTAATAATAATACGCAGTTTTGTTGCGAATTCAGATTCGAACCTTTTGATTAAAAATATGTTCTTTTGACATGCCGACAGCAGATTGAGATATTGAATTTATTCTACCAAAACTGTATTAATTAAAATGTGTGAAAATTTATCATATGAAATTCATTTCTCATAATTCTATATTTAGACTTTGGTCAAATAATCCAACAGAAGTATTTGAATATGTGGATTATATACTCTATGATCAATTTGGCTGTTTTCTACCATCATTTTGACGACATACTCTTACTTAAGATTATGGAACTGTTAGAACTAAACATAGAAGTCTTCGATAGTTGTTGTAGTAATAATGCTGCTGTTCATCATATCAATTTCGATGAGAAGAAAAATTTTTTTCGTCGATGTTGATTTGAATACTGATTTAATGGAATGTATAATATTTGATCGTATAATTGTGACAATTGATCATTATCATGTACCGAATTTGAGCAAAATTGGAGAATTGAATCAATATCTTGATTGGATCCTTCATTCATATGAATTTCGTAATGCGGACGAATTCGTAGAGTTTAATTCGTTAATTCTTTGTAGTAGTTTTTATTCAGAGGATCTCGTTTTATCATATTACAAATACGGTGCTCAATTGTTGACAATTAGTTCTCAATATAAACCGATTTATTTTAAATGACTAATTGAAGTTAAAGTTGTATCTATGTTTGTTGGTATAGAAGACTAGGGGGAAACAACGTATTTCACGTCGAAAAGTACATTAAAGTACAAAAGTATGCTGTTTCTCTCCTAGCATTAACAGAAACCATCAAAAATTAACAAACAATGCAGTGATAGGAAAGACAAGCCTTGTAGTATTATATTTGTCAATAGAATTTGTTTTGACTTGAGAGTAAATATACATTGTACCTAGCTGCTTTTTTTCTCGGACACATAAGCAATCAATAACAAAATAACATTGAACGACATCCATACATGTAACGACCCCCATGATTCAAGCCAATCAATGTAAATCTCACAAATGATTGTGTTTGACATTAGAGATTTTTGACGACACCATTTATCGTGAACACTCTAGCCTATGTAGTTGAGCAGAGTAGAATTGCTCATAACTAAACTTCGCATCTGACTTCTTCGAAAATATCTAATTTGATCATACGGAATCGGATCGTCGAATCATAACAAATGAAGTCTAACTCTATCTCACAAACTTCTAAAAATTTCGTTGAAACTATTAACACAATTATATTCATAACTAGCAAACTATATCTAAGCAACAGTAAGTCGTTATGTATAAAGATACTTGCTATGGCGATAATATCAATACAAATGAATAACTTTCTGACAAGGCACATCTATATTAGCAATGGATTCTTGAATCATTCATTGATATGAATTCTGGAAACTTGAATTGTAAAAGTTTTCTTTACAAATAGAAGACTATTTTAGTTTTGAAGCCATTTTTTTTATAGAATTTGATGAAAGATTTTCGGAAACTTCAATCTGACTGTATCTGAAATGATGCGACAGATCCTATACTACTATGTAACGTGCAGACCCTTTGCAGAATATCCCTAAGTTTCTAATTGTCACAATCAAATCCACTGGTTTCCAAGCATCGAAACATGTCGGATCATATCGAGTCTTTAACCAGTTTCACACATCGGATTTCATCATTTTTGAGAACACAAATATTCAGTTAAATATCTAAAGAAGTAGAAGTTCTTTTTTTCTATAAATACGGTTGTTCGCATGCTCAATATTACAAACACACAACCAAACGAAAAAGATTACAGCGGGAAGGGTTTTCCTTTATAGGAAGAAATTTCATGAAGATTTGTTCTACAAAAGAAAAAAAGAACAGATTGTTAGACAATTGAGGGCGCAAAAGTATGTGTGGCTGACATAATCAAAGAATGTACGTCATACTGTTCTATAAGTTGTTGTGTATAGATGCGACAACGTTCTAAGAACATGTTTTAGATTACGGTTATCTTCTCTTTCATATCAGATTCATTGCGACCTGTTATATTGCTTTGCACTATCTCCATCTTTTTCACTCAAATGTAACATGTATACTTATTTGTACTTGAATAATATACGTAACTTCTTACGTCAGTTTCGTTTGCACTCGACACTGATTTATTATGTTTCCTGATTAGTGGTTTTACAAACATTATGTGTCACATTGTTCTTATTATATAGTAAAACAGACAGTGAATGTCGATACATTTCAGCTCATATGTAGTTTGTTTTACTGTGGTAATGTGCAGAATAGTGCTCATGTTTAGATTAACAGTTCCTTTGAACAGTCGATAACATGCTGGAGACTATAACTCAGCATAAAACTTCTTTGATTGGCTATAACACTGCAAGGTTGTTTTTTGAAAGTCATCTAAATAGAATTTAATTGAACTAAGTGATATGAAACAAAGTATCTAAAATATAATCATTAGATCGGATTGAGATACTCAGTTGATTGAATATCTATCAAAAACAACCATATTTGGTATCAAAAAGTTACTTTAGAAAATTGTTTTGTGTTTTTTCGTCAAAATGATATTGGATATGGATTGAGAATATAGAATGAGATATTTCTATAGTAACGCCACATATCAATATTCGTTTGTTTTATTCTTCTTGTGAAGCAGAAAAGATATTTAAGGAATAGAACTTAAAAATAGAATACATATATACTATTGTGTCTGGATCATTTTTCTTTATAGAAATAATATTTGAAATCTGAACCTTAAAATCCATAAGAATGGGCTATTTTTAGTCTCATGAAGGTTTACGAAGATCATTTGAAAGTTTGAGATACTCTATCGTAATTCTATCATATTGCCCTCAAATTAACACTTTCAACTATAAGATAAAAAAGTAAACTTGAACCAATGAAAAAAGAATCAAGTGGAATAGTTTGCTTTGTTTTATGTTCTTATCTTCACTTGTTTTTATTTTCTTCTTTTTATTTTTTAAATAAACCCACGTGGATATGATGTTCTCTTATAATAATGGCCAATGAGATACCATTCGAAAAACAATATCAATGGATCTTACAATCGGATGAAACAAGACTTACTCAACAAAAAATTCATGAAGAAAAACAAAGAGTCTGCATGAAAAATATTTTCTAAAATTTGAAACATATTTCTAATCTTTTTTTTAAGGCAGTTATAAATGCATTATCATCATATCAAACTTCGATTCAAACATCAATTGATTATGAAATTGATTTTCTTCCTGGTGAACCAGTATTAGTAGGTATGAACACACCATATTTTGATATAACAAATGACAAAGCAAATATAAATGAATTAAGTATTCAATTAGCTCGATTAACTAGTAAAATGCTTCATAAAATTCAAACATTATGTCAAGAAACACAATTACCATTTAATAAACAATTTCGTATTGAATTACGTCCAGCTTCATTCTATAATTCTGATCATCATTTAAACAATCTTTGAGAATTACGTCTCAATTTAGATCCTGTTGTTTGGTTTGATTATTATTGGCAAAAAAATGAACAAGAACAACGAATAGATTTTCTTAATAAAGCTCGTACATATGTTGATAAATATCGTCATTTTGTTAAATATGAACATTTATCAGAACCAAAATTTGAACCACTTGTATCTGAACGACATTGTCGTTATCAAACAACATGTGAGAAAGAAGGTGGTAAATATGCGCATGCTCTTCATTCAACATTGATTTGTTTAGAAAATGGTTCAATGTTACGTGATGATGGTTTACAAAAATGTGGACAATTTTTTGTTAATAGTACTATTGCTATGCAATGGCCAGTCAAATCAAGTAAATCATCTAGAGAAAAATGACAAAATATAGAGCGAGAAACTTTTCAGTAAAAGTGTCTAAACTATTCCAAAAAGATTTACATAAGAACTTAAAGGTGCTCCTCTTCTGTTTTGACCGCTTCTACTGCTCGAAGACGATACAACCCATCAAGGTGAAATTTTTACCACAGATAGAATACTAAAAGTAAGGAGACACATGTTCATAGAAACAATTTTTGAAGTGGATTTTTGCGATTTTCTATAGAGCAGCATCCTAGTTGCTTATGATCCCTCCCCCCTCTCCCCCATTTAATTTTGTTCTATCAGACTGAAATTTTCATCACTGATACTTGGAAGTAGTCTTCAGAGATAATATCGACTGTTTTCGTATTTGACTTTCCTACCTGAATTTACAGGATTCTGGAAGTCAAGGCCTCGGCCTTGACACCGCACATTTACATATTTCTCTCATAAAAAAGTGAAAGTGAGATTTTGGGGAAAGCTTAAAATTACCTCTGAGATATAATCTTAAGCATCTCAACAAAAAAAATTTCAGTTCAATCCTATAAAATCTCGATGAAGATCATAATATGCCAGAATGCTACGGTATGAAAATCCGAATTTCTCGAAAAAAATTGCAATAGTTCACTTCAAAACTTGTCTCCTCAAACAGGTGTCTCTTTACTTTTGGTGTTTGATCGGTTATACCATCCTTGGATATCAGTAGCAGTCAAAAAAGAAGGAAAAAACTACTCTTAAATCGATTCGTTAATTGGTCTTTCAAAATTATAGATAACAAGACTAGAAAATACTCTTGATAGATGTTATTATTTTTAAAATATTTTCTACGATCTATTACATATTGAAAGTTTCATATCGTTTCGATAATAAAATGTCCTGTTCTTTTAGTGCTAAATTCACATATTTCTATATTAACAAATGACAATAATATTGATTATGGTCTTAACTTTCATTGGCAAACATCTAGTTTTATTTTTACTAGTAAACGTGAAACAGTACGTGATCTTGTTATGTATGCAACACCACCTTGGCATATAACTAATCGTAAAATGGCTTGTTTACCATTATTTTGGTTAACAGTTATTTATACATGTCGTTTTCTTTATTCTGAACTTTATTTACAAACAAATCGTAATAATATTCAATGGCCAGTTTATGCTATTGCACTTAATTTTGGTAAATGGGAAACAGGTGGTTCTTATAGTACGCATGCAATTGATTGTCATGCTCATGCACATTTATTATTAACACGAGAATTTATTGATGAATGTAATGAAACATTTTTTCGACAATTACAAGGTCGACAAAATGCATCACCTGATTATTTACATCAGAATGCTGAAATACTTGAACGTGAACGATTACTTAGTTACGAACTTCGAAGTTATCAACAAACAATAAAAGAATTAAAAATACAAATTGATGAAATTCAAACTAATATGAAGACAATGATGAATATACTTGAAAATATATTAACAAAAAAGTGACTTTTATCGAGATTTATTTGTAATAAGCAAAATTCTTTTCATTTAATTGAAACAATACAAATCTTATCCTTTCAATATATTTTTTTAAGGACATACTGTTTTGGTAAGGTACATATTTCTTTATTATTCCCTTTATTACTTCATTACAGCATGCATCTAAGTCGATGTGATCATTTATCTCTTCGAGTAAAGCTTAATGATCAACTTCTTTGTTTACTGTTTCTTACACATTTCACAGATTCTCTTTCTTCTTGAAAAGTAGTACATGTAAAAGCAAACGGCATGTGAGGTGCTTTTAGAAAAAAAAACCTAAGAGTTGTTTATTATGTTTACTTCAAGAAGTAAATAACTTAATCTAATCAAAATACATGTTACGATGATGAATTAAAGCAAATAACAGAGATGTCTGCTGTGAGGTTCGGATAGGTGGTTATCTTAGGATATTGATGTGAGTGATTGAATGGGTGAAAAGAAAAACCACACAGGCACATCTATCAGCGCCCACACTCCAAGATATATTGTACCTTTCGGTTTGCATTTCATGACATTTTTCTGTATCCGTTCGATCAAGTACTTTCTTTATCAATTTGTACAAGGTCATGATGTGTGAGAAACAATGAGTGACGATATCTGGTGACTGACTTTTCGTAATAAAATAAAGCTTGTTGCAAATCATTTTTTATTCTCATGAATAAGTCCTATATTTCCAAGCACTGATGCAACATGAGAATGTTCATGAGATAGAAACTTTTTGAAGATTGTCAAAAAAAGATTTCCATACTCTAATGCAAGATTAAATTGACCGAGATATCAATAAACGATGGTAATGTTATTATACGGCATAGCTAAGCCAGGATGATCGATCGGAAGATGTGTTATGCAAATGGACAATGCCATCTAGTGACACACAAATGCCTCCAAGTATTTCTTTTCATTTTGATAGGTACCAGCCATGTTATTCAAGCACGTGGCTATTTTAGGATGCTTCTCGCCGTAAGTTCACTTTCAAATGTCCAATGCCTTGTTGTATGATTCAAGAGCTTGTTTGTATTTGCCTTTTCTCCACTTAACAACAACGATACTGTTGTAGATCTGTGCGAAATCGAGATCATCTGATTCAAGTGTTCTTAATGACATCTGAACTGATTTATAATGCCACGTAAGGCTCGAGTCGTGCTCTCCCTTCTTCGCAACAATACCTCTGACAATGAAACTGTTTGTCATGTCAGTTGATTTGATGAATTATGTCTATGTTCGAGTCAAACTATCACCTTCAATGAGATACTACCAAATTAAAAATATGAGCTGCTGATGGCGAGCTTGAATCAAATTATTCAAATTTTAAGGTATTGACAATTTAGGTATATAAGAGCCAGTCCATATAAGCCACCGCCGACTCCCACAGATGTTGCTCAATTTAATATATGTTGTAGAGGAAATAGTTTCAAGAATTCTGAAGCAAGCCGTTTGAAACAATATTGTTCCGTTCTTGGTATATTAAAATTTTTCTGAAGACACTATCGCCAGAAAAGCGCATTGTTTGTGACATTGATATCTTACCAAAAATACTAGTTTCGTTATTTTAATTATGACAATAATTTACTTTTGAGATAGATTCTATAGAATCAAACAAAAAATAATTTCTCGATTATTTTTTAATTTATATCGGCTTTAAAAAATTAATCGAATGTCCTTATCACATGGAAAGATTAGACAAATTTAGGAAGTAACAGAGTTGCCGACCTGATCTGATCCGTTCATATAATATGAAACCAAACTAAAGTTATTGTCTTGGCTTTTACGTTTCGAAATCAAATCGTGATGCATTGCATTATTATTTGGAAGTACTTTGACAGGTTCATTTGATTTCAACAACAAATACTTGAATCGAATGTCAATTTAGTATCAAAGAACTTATATTGGCTGATAGAACAATTTGTTTAGATCCATACAATTGGATAGTAAATTTTGTGTTTGTACTGTGGTGGAAATAGATTATCAAATGTAAAAAAATGGCCTATTGGCAGTTCTGGTACGAAATCAGTTCGAGGATCAATCTATGTTTTTAGTTTTACATGATTGAGAACAGATACAAAGAGAGAAAAAATAACGAATATGAAATATATAAAACGATGTGATAGATGACACGTACATTGATTATCATCGTATTCTCATTAATATAAATACATTTTAGTGCATAATCATGGTTATTTTAATATAAACAACATGTCTGATAATTCCGTGAGGAATCCCTTATAGTTGATCATTTCTATTAATATTAGAATGATGTCTTTTAGTAACTTATATTCATATATCTAATGAAGAAGATTCAACATCATTATTATCATTTAATGAAATTAATAGAATGATGATAACTATTTGATGAACGTTTTCAACATATGTTTGGTTGCCCATCATTTCCTATGAATTTTAATGAAAATGCTTATGATTTAATGAATGATGAAGATAAATTAATTCTGTTGATGATTTAACCAATCTTAGAAAGAAATTAAATTTTCTCGAACCTGCTTGTACAATAATTACAAAGTCGTCGGAAGAAACTTCCTACTATACAAACAACAATATCTATTAAAAAATTCATTATCAATGGACAAAATCTTCCGTCTGATGAAATAAATACAATGAATGATAATATCTACTGGTTATGCACAGCAAAATTTATGGTACAGTTATTTTTAGAAACTTTTTAATAAAAAAAAATTAAAAAAACATATAATCATGTAAAAGTTTAACTTTATTGTAATTTTTTCTATTTCTATTTTGGTAATGGCAATTATCAATAGGTAAAATAAATAATGAGCGAGGTTTGATTTACATGATGGAACGATACAATTATTTTTCTCCAGTCAATGATTCTGTTGAATAAGTATCCTCTCTCCTTTTGCCCAAAAAATTTTTTTCGTTTTTTCTTATCAACTTCCAGATGTTTCTCTAGACGAGATATCACATGTTTTTTTTAATGTGCGATTGCCTCTTACTCGATATATTCTACTTGTATCGTGATGACAAAAAAACGAGCGTAATAGTTATTGATAAAATAGTTTTGATTACTTCATATATTGACGCTGGTTTAGCAGTTTTTTCTTTTCTATCAGTACTTCACAGAAGTTGACCTATTAATAGTAAACTCAACATTTTTTTTCGTTTATTGTGCTTAATCAAATGAAAGACTGTAGAAAAAGTATATGAGATTCTAACATATAGTTTTAATTTTGATATGTATTTATTCGATCAGAAAAAATCTTTTCAAAATTAAATTTGCCCGGGAATGATGTATTGAATATATAAATAAGAAAGTAGATCATTTGACATATAACAGACAAAATTTATTGATGTTTTATCATTTTTCCCACAATAAGACTATACACTCGCGCACAGAGTAAATTGTTCATTCTAAATTTATTACATTATTTTCTCGTAGGAATGGTTAAGCAACATATAGTTTTATATGTTTTTACGCATTTAGTTTTCAGTGGGTAAAAACTCAGAGAAAAGCAAAATTGTATCAGAGTTATGCCATTTATTTTTCTTTCTTTATCACTGATGTGAAATATTATTAAATATTCAAGCACTATAAATACTCACAATTTTCTTCACAACATTCATTCTATTTACAAGGAAAAAAAAGGTAAGAATCGCGATTTGTATAAGCTGATTGGCTGCAACGAAGGGATATTTATTAATTTACATTACTAAAAACCGTCGCTATTTATTGTTTCTTTTAATATTCAGATATATTATAATAGATACATGGATTTTTTAATATAATATAACATAATGCAACAGAGTAGATCAGAATAAACAACTTTTA